TTTACTCTCTCTCTCTCTCTCTCTCTCTCTCTCTCTCTCTCTCTCTCTCGTACATGCTGCTTGAATACAGAGAGTCCCACAAAAACTTGCAAGAAAAAATAGATAGCAATGTGTGATGAGATTCTATCACTAACTGTTATCTTACCTCATTCTTTACTCAGGGTTGGATAGAGGAAGATTCCCTGTTAGCTTGTCAACAGCTGGGCCTGAGCTTTGACCGGGATCACCCAGAGGCTCGCAGCAAAGTTCCTGCACCAGTAAATTATCGAATCCTGATGAGCTGGGTTTCCTGTGATGATGTGGACACGGACCTGACCAAATGCCGAGCAGTCAACCAGGATGCACATTCTTGTACACATGATGATGATGTCTACCTCAGATGTCAGCCCCCTACATGGGCAGGTATGAAATGGCTTGAGCAGTATGAATAAGAATAAGACACTGTGAAGTCTGCTTAAACTGAAATCTCCATGACCACTGGATTTTCTTCTGTTTAGGCGGGTTTTTGGTTGAGAGAGGTAGCTGGAATAGAAGTAAAATGTCTTGGATTTTATTTTCTTGTAATTTAGCTCTGTTTTTGGGTTATCTGTGTTCTGTTTTAGCAGCCTCCACTCTTTTTATGACTGTGTTTGAGCAGCTAACCAGAGAACTGAGAGGGGAAACTAGAGTAAACAGGCTGGTCGGCCAAAGGAGTAATTGTTAAATTGTGCAAGCCCTTGGTTGGAAGGGTCTATGACGGTAGCCAAACTAATTTACTTTTATGTGGGGATGATTGCATATGACAGTGACATCATTTACCCTCCCGCCAGAGCTGTAATCATGATGGATTTGGGGGTTCGAAGTGACATTGTGTACTAAGAATGGCATGTTACATAGATTTTCCTTCTTAAATAACCATACAGTGTTGCAAGGAATGCTAAACTATACAATTTTGTGCTCCCAGCTCTGCTCTACCATTGCATTAAAATAAAATAGAGTCCTTTGCTTCTCTCCAGGAATCACACTGGCTGCAGCAATGAGCACAGATCAAGAACAACCTCGTATTTCCCAGACGGTGATTCGCTTCGCTACTATAAAGAAGGCAGGCCTTCTGGACCCAGACACTGCCACGTTGACCCCTGCTCTTCGTATTGACTACAACTTCTACAAGATTTCCTGGCTCACTGTGGAAAATTCCATATCAGATGGGATATCTATTGCATACAGTCATCCATATTCCGAGAACGTAATGGAGTATTTGAAAGTGCTGGGTAGTGCAGGCAATGGGATTGTCACCAAATCACCAAGGCTTGAGGCAAGTGAACCTTAGCAGTGCAGTTTGTCAGCTTAGGATTTTTTGGCTTTTCTTAGAGCTTGTGTACCAGTGTCTGTTATATAGCAGTTAGGCGCTTCACTATAACAAAATAGAGACTCGAGTTTCATTCCCTAGTGGGATGAACATTTTTATTGATTATCCCTTTCTATTGGGATGTTACATCTCTCTCAGCCCAGGTTGGCCCTGACAGTAGTGTTGAGTTCTGACTGCAAAATTTTTAATTTGCAAATAAATGAGCGAATAAATGAATCACTTGCTGTATCGGAGTGCGGACGGGCAGAAGTTTACTGCTGACATATGCGGTCACTGTTCGTTTGTGAAGTCGTGAATGAACCAGCAAACTAAGCTGGTGACGATGATCTTGGTTTCGCTCGTTAGCTCATTCTTGTGTGTGTGTGTGTGTGTGTGTGTGTGTGTGTGTGTGTGTGTGTATGTGTGTGTGTATGAGTATGTGTGTGTGTATGAGTATGTGTGTGTGTGTGCGTGCGTGTGTGGGTGCGTGCTTGAGAGAGAAAGATTATTTTTTTTGGCATGAGCAATTATCAGACCACTTTTTATTTTTTTGCCCATTAATTGTAATGACATTTTTCTCTCCCTTCTTCCATCTTTGATCTCATCTGTAATGAAATCTGTTGACTCTCCTTTTGGTTTCAGTTATGGCATTCCAAAATTGACCACAGTGGAAAAGCCGGCTTCCTGTATGACCCATTCTTTACAGAGTATGATGCTTTGCTGATCCGGAATATGATCTATCCTGATCGGCGTGTCTTCATGCTGGATGGAAAATACCATGTGTCTGGGCAGTTGTATAGGGTTCGGCTGCCAGCAATAGATGACCATATCTTTCTGCTATGCCCTGCTGGCCAAGCCAATGTAACTAGAGACTACTTTGTGGAGGTTCAGGCATATCGCTCAGGCTATAGAATGGTCCTACAGGTATGGTTTGACTCTGTCTTTATAACTATCCACACTGATGTTAATTAAGTAGTGAGAGATTTTGGATGACTACATTATGGCAGGTCAGTTTGGAGTAGAATTACTATGAAAACAGTGAGTGGGTATTGGATTTTTATTGGTTAACGGAAAATTTGTGGTATGTCTCCTTTTATAAGCAGGCAAAAAATGTAGTCAAGGGTATTTTTGCAACGATGGAAACAGGTTGTCTCAGAGTATGGGATTTTGAGTGATTGCTACGTTTTTTTTTCTCAAAGTGTACTTTTTTAAATAGAAAGGGCAAACTCAGCTTTATTGCTTACCTCAATTATAATGTCACCCCTTTTATTACGAGTTCAATTCTTTTGAATTTTGTATAAAAATAGTGTTTGCTCTTTTTCTTCCCTAACCACACATTATTTTGATAAACGGTAATCACTATTTTGTGTATATATGCTTTTTTCATTTAACAGATCATGGATTACCTACCGGTGGAGAGTGTTGAGAAAGTAACTGTTTACGACACAGTATATCAGAATATTCTCGGACAAGGCGTAAAGAAATGGGAAATTGAGAAAGACCTTGTTGACTTTCCTGTTGTGTCTGGTGGTGATACGGTCACCATAAAGCTCTCAGTCAATGGTCAGCTGTCTGGAAGACTGGCTTTTGTGATAGTTGCAAGTGCGTATTATAAAAAAATTTATTTTTAGCTCATATTGATTTTGAAATTGACAGTATTTGTAAACTGGTTGAAAAGGAAATTTAGCATTGTGAAAACACATTTAAGTAAATGTACCATTTGTATGGTTTGTTGTTATGCGCCGTAAAACCCCATACTACATACATACATACATAAACTCTGCATATGTTTATCTTTATCAAAGTCTCAGATTTTTCTTTTTAATGGGCCTATGTATTGTGTGAATTACATGTTATCTTGTGTATCTACATATCACTAAGAAACAATGAAGTGAGACTATTCAAACATGCATTACTGTTGGTAGTTCATGTATCCTGTTCTATTCCTACAAGAAAAAGTTTAAAGAATCACATAGGGTAAACAAGTGGATCATCTTGTCAGACCCAGAATGGTCTCTTTTCTGGTATACCCATGTTTGCTTTCTTTTGCTAAAAATGACACTTGCGTACGATTTTTACACTTTCCCCTTCAAATGTACTGTGAGCAGCTTTTCAGTTTGACTTTTTTTCTCTTTTTTTGGAACAGCTGATGCTACTCCAAAGCCTGTGACACTCAAGACTCGTGTCTTCAACACAACATTTGATTTCAATGATCAAGGGATTGTTACAAAACACTACAACAATCCGTCGAACCTTCGACTAGAACTGTTCCATCGACACAAAGAAGAGGAAATTTCTTTAGAGGTTTGTAACTATATTTTTTAGCTCTGTCATTACAAGTAACAGGGGATCATCTCTCTTGTCTTATTGGCTCCTAATTTTGCTCTCTACAGTTGAGTTCTGAAGACGGAGAATAATTCAGGCTGCATGTTCTTGGTTTTAGTGTTCCACAGCATGGATGATATCAGTATTGATTTAGCTAAATGTTCATTTTTATCTGGGGTGCTTCTAATCTTAGGCACTTATATGACCTATTTTTGTTGCAAATGAAGTAAAACTCTAACTAAGACTAAACTAAAACAACAAAGGAGTGTTAGATAGGTTCAGTTATAGTTACCTTCCTTTAAAATTTGTGTTACCTGGTACATACTTTAAAAGAGTATTTTCTCGGATGTGGACAAAGACGGTCAAAATTTCCTTTGTGAGAAACGCAAACTGGTAAGGTTGCTCAAAACTAAAATTCATACGAAAATGAAATGTCAATAACATACTGTTACACTAACCGTTTGCACCGCAAGAAATACTAATGTACTCTCTAGGACTGCCACCAGTAGTTACTAGTACTAGTATGTAGGCAACCCAAATGATGTATCTCTCTCTCACCGGTGACTGTATTGTCACTGAGTGTCACTGCTAAGCAGAGATGAATCATTCATGTCTCCTACAAGCTCTGTGCCTACTGTCTGCTGTGTGCTACTATTTGTAGTTCTGGGAGTCACATGGGTACTAGTACTGTATTACACCATGATCTTTGGACTTGGCACAAGTGACTGTGTTCTACATACAACACATCAATTTTGGCGTCTGGCTGCAAGAATATCCTCCAGGGAACTTTATAGTTTTTCGGTGAAAAAAACTCCTTGCGTAAAAACACCCTTAATAGTGACGATGCAGGATGAATTGTGTGAGGGACCATGTCATGCAGAGGTCAGAGTTTACTCTTGTCAATTTTTGTGTGACGAGTGTACCCTGTACTGTCACCGGTCTTTTCTGCCAAGGCATGATCATACAAAAGTGATCGTTCTCAAGTGTCAAGAATAAGATCTCTGTCATCACTGATATTGCATGACATCCTTCATGATCCTGAGTTTACAGAGCTCTTGATCCCTAAGGCCTTGCGTTATACAGTCGAACCTGCCTTAATGGAAACCTGTGTAAAACGGAAACCTGTCTGAACGGAATCTCCCCGCTCCCCCCTTGATATATTCCTCTTTAATTACCTGTATAAAACAGAAACCTGTCCAACGCGGAAACGGAGAGAAAAATCTGCTCCCTTCCGAGGGTTTCACCTGTCTAAGACGGAAAATGCTTTGCCCGCTCAGCCCTGATTTGAAACAAAACTCGCAAGTTTGGTTCCGACGGCTCTAAACTTAACGCTATGGCCATGCTGCTGGCCGAGGAAGGGGAGTACGGGTGCAATTTGGGGGTAGATGTTACCCCATCATGTGAGCCCTGAGTGATGCAGATGGTCAGTGTAGTGTGGGTGTGAAATCTCACGACTGCCCGTGAGAGTGCTCGAGTCGCGAGCCATTTCGGAAACTTTCTTAGGTAGCCAGAAGCCAGAGGTGTGAAATTAGATTGACCAATGCCAGCCGAGAAAAGATTTCCTCGAATCGTTGTTACATGATGGCAGTGAGGGGTGGCACTGGTGGGTGGGGCTAAGGGTGGAAACACAGGAGATGTTCAAACGTTCCTGTTTTAATAGGTCAAACAGTGGTCGTATGAAAGTCAAGCACTGGTGGTAATTGGATCAGTAAGACTGACGCAGGTCATTATCAGTGAATCAGAGAGGATAGCAGCTGAGAGGAGTTTTGATCACTGCTGCCTCATGGGACCAAGCGATCCTTGATCCCACCGGCTGGGCCTTTGATCCCCCCAACCTCCATCTCCCCCTAAATTCCCCTGTCTAAGACGGAATTTTTTTCTGGCTCCCTTGCGATTCCGTCTTACACAGGTTCGACAGTACATTATAAACATGTGTCATCCTAGGCATATTGTTTCGACAAAATTACAAGCAAAATACTATTGAGAATTAATCTATGTCCTGACTCTGTATTCTCATGGTCAAAGTTGTCTCTATGAAAACTTTTCTTTCAAAAGGGTCAACAGGAGATGTTAAAACTTGCCTTTTTTTGTTGCAGGATGTGCTAGTGAGGCAGAGTCTTAGCCATGCGGTACATATGCCAAGTGTCACAAAGTTCCATGAAGATTACATTCCTACGTACGAAGATATGACCAGACCAGAGAGGGTGGCTAAGGTCAATTACACTATCTTCCGATCAAGTTTCATTGGCAATGTAAAGTGTATCCTGGCTGAGCACAACCATGTGGATTTTGCCAACAATGTGTGGCATTGGAATCTTCGCGAAGTCCTTGTGGAGGAGTGTTCAGAGGGTGGTCTGGAAATTGAAGTGCCGAGGGTAAATGATGAGTCGGAGCGAGAAACTCATGCAGTGCTAGTTGAGGACTCTAAGTTTTGGAAAAATGGAGACTTCCGTTTTACAATTGCGGGCTATTATGCTGTTGTTGGTATCAACAGAAATACATTCACCAAAAACTTGTGTTCTCTGGGTCTCATATCTATCACTGGCATGGAGAAAGACTTTACAATGATGAGTAACGCAATTACCAACAATGCTGGACGCTTCATGATGAATATGAACATTCTCGGCCATTCAGAGTACTCACCACAGGTCACAGGTGATATGGCCCTAAATAAGATCGTGGACAATAGCCCCAATGTGCTGAGTGAATTAAGCCACCATACTCCTAGCACATATGCAGTAGCAGTACGAGGTCTTCAGAAAATTGGGGGCTATCGCAATTTGTTTGACAACAAAGATCTTGAGTATGAGCTTGTAGCTGGTATTGAGACTCTGTATCTTGATACACATGTCAATTTCACATACAACTACTGGGGCTATAGCGATGAGACCACCATTCGAAAACGCATTTTTGACTTTGATGACTGGAACAACTATGTGATTGCTGATTATTTCCCGTACCTGACGCTCAAAGACGTCACCTCCGCCGCTGCTGTAGGTTCACCTGCTGAGATTATACTGGACCCAAGTAGTCTTGGAGGGCGGGTAGAAAAGTCTGTGACACTAATTGATATAGGCAAACCGTACATTGTTGAGTCAGATCTAACGGTTATGCCTGGCTACACCCTGACAATTCCCCCAGGTACGGAGCTTCAGTTTAGGCCTAATGTTGGCATCCTTGTATTGGGGCGTCTTGTTGCTAATGGACTTCCCTTTGGACGAATCAAGATGAGACCTTTTGATACAACCCTTGTTGATCCTTTTGCCTCACATCGGATAACTAGGCATGCTGGGGGTGGTGGGAGAACGTCAGAAATTGCCAATGTAAGGCTTCGAGGGGACGGCACCCTCTTCCACAATGCCGGCTTTTTGGAGCTCTACAACGCCTCCAGTCATAGCTGGAACATGATGTGTGACAGTCAGTTCAACGAGAAGACGGCAGAAGTTGTTTGTCGTGAGCTAGGGAAAGAGACTGTTAATGTGAAGGTCCGGTTTACTCATTTGTACGATTATTACATCTTTGGGAAGCCCATGTATTTCCGCAAAGAGTTCTGGTTCAATAAGTACCACTGTCGGGGAGATGAGACCTCTCTGAATCAGTGTACGACCAGATACAATTACAATTTGCTGCCATGCATTTTTGCTGCCAACTACACCTTTATCACTTGTGGGGACCGGAATTTGGAGCCTGAACTACAGTACTGGGGGAATATTCGCTTTGCCAAGAAATCATTTGAGGAACAGCCGTTAGAGGCAGACATAGGCAAAGATCAATCCATAATGAGCTATGTGGACATTGAAGGAGCAGGGATGCTCCATGGAGAGAAGGTTGGTGCCATTCAAACGACATACGTCACGCCTGAATTTAAATATATCAACATCACAAAATGTGCAGAGAATGGCTTCGACATAGTAGCCCCAAGGCAACCTCTAGTTCTGGAGCACCAAAATGTTACAGGAAACTTGGGTTATGGCATCAACGTGCTAGTTTTGAACGGCGAGTCTAGTATACGTCGATCCTCCTTCCTACCGAATGGCCCCAGCACCATCCCGTACAACGTCTATGGCCTTGTCGATATCTGTCGCATGGAGAAGGAGATCCAGCTAGAGACTCGCCTCATCCTTTTCTACAAGTATGGACCTAACAACAGAGACTGTGTTAAGATCATCAGGTAAGATTATTCTAACCTTTCCTCTGTGTAGAGCGTTTGCAATTAAAAAATTTTTGTTTGTTTGTTTGGTGTGTGTGATTTACAAAAGACATATTTTGCAAATGATGTGAAGAACCACATGCATCATGAACAAACTTGTTTATATGTTTAAAGATAAATGTTTGGTTAATACAATTTAAGTTCTCCTCAAGTACAGCTTCTTAAGACTGGCTATATTTTGGGCATTGTTTGAGAATATTTCTACTCTCTTTATCTGCTTCTCAACAATGTATTTAAATGAGTGGTTTTGGTTGTGCCATAAAACTCATGCGCTTTCTATGTATAAGCACTTATAACAACTGCACAGTAACTAAGATTGTCATTGGGCTTTTGGCAAATGCATCATTTACATTTACACAACATCCACCCTGTGCTTTGATGCTGAAGCCAGTGGCTTCATGTTAGAATTTTGAACTCATGTACATGACACCTCAACGTTTTCCTCACGTAAGCTGAAGTCTTAATGCTTTTTCAATGGCCAGTGGCTCAGAAAATGGAAACTGATGCTGTGAATGGCTGTTTTCGTGGTGTGAGATTATATTTTAATATAGTTTAAAAAAAAAAAATTTTTAAAGAAAAAAAGGGACCAATGTAATGGACCATAACTCAGTCATCTTTGTACCAATTTGACAAAACTTTGAAAAATAATAAAATTTAACCAAGCGGATTTCTGATTTATCAATTTGAAGAAAATCAACCTATGTGTTCAACAATTGTCAAATTTAACAAAAATTCAACCAAAATTCTAAACTGAGTGAAATGCAAAACTTTACGACTTCTTAGAAACCTATCGTAATGTGTATTGTGCACGAAAGAGAAAAAAATATTTAAAGCTGACATTGCCATAGATAGTGTGTCCAAAAAAGAAAAATGACCCTCTTAAAGTGCCATGCTTTTCTCTGACTTTTTTTTTTCTCCAAAAGACAGAATCTTCAGAAACAATCCACAAATGAACTGTTGAAACCCAGTGTTATAATACAGAAGGTCCAAAGAATCGACCCAGAAACATGTCACAGGGTTATTCAAAATTTCAGCCGTTCATTCAAGCTAGTCTGGAGAAAAATGATCGAAATCTAAAGCATATAATTTGAATAGCCACGGTCTTCCCTTTGTTTAGGAATGCCAGATTCAAATAAGTATTGCCCAAATATACATTATAGCTGATTTTTATGAAGTTGTTATGTTTTGCGCTTCCCGCAATGTTTGTAGGAATGGTAAAAACTTAATATTTCTCGTATACATGAGTTTATTTTCTTCATATCAACAAATTTGACGTCCCCTTGGGTAAATTTTATTTGTTCAAAGTTTTGTTGAAATGGGTAGAAAGATGACCTAGTTTGTACCCTTTAAACAGGTCCTTTTTTTTTTAGACTTCCTGTATTTTTTTGCAGCTAAGCCAATATTACTTTTCATAACCTTTTATTTTGAACAAAACTTTTTCAGTGTTCCTTCCTTTTTTTTCAACTTGTTGATGTGGATTAGTTCTTGAATATTATCATATTGTGTGGATCTGCGGATCTTTGGTGAATTAGTTCCTGTATGTATGAATTTTTTTTTTTTCCCTGAAACAAAAATGCTAATTTTTTTTCTTTTCACAAAAATATTTCAGCTCTCGCAAGACTATTGGTCTCCGTTTCCTTCAGCTCAACTTGTTCCAGGAGGACTTCTCAAGAAATGTCATTCAAATTTTTGATGGAATGGATATACGGTTGGAGAATCGTCTCGGCAACATCATGGCCAACAGTAGCCAAGATGAGATCCAGCAGATTTACCAGAGCACGGGCTCCACCATGTCTGTTCACGTCCATGCCTCTGTCAGTCACGGATCCTATGGCTTCATTGCTGAGGTGGTCAGGCTGCCCCCAACTGGGCTCACATACCCCAGTAAGTATTTTTGTGTCTGTCATTTCCAGAAAACTTCTTAATGTGCAGAGAATATAAAATGTTCTATTTTCTTTCTTATACCTTTTAGTTATTTCTGTCATTTTATTTTTGTCTAACATGAAAATACTGTAACTGAGTTACGGTGCTTCTCTCCAACTTGTGACTGGTGGGAGGGCACAACTGGTAAGTTCTCCTTTTTTTCTATGATTTTATTGCTTCTGTCTGTCTTTCTTTCTTTTCTCCAACTCGAACAGACTCTTCATGTAGATTGCTTTTCTTAAAGCAAGCTAATAACAAATGCCTTCTTGACCTCAAAACTGTCTTGGTTAGTAGTATGGTTCTTGTGTGTCATGGATGGTGGGTTGACATTTAGGTAAGAGGTGTTTTCTGCTCTGTCTATTTATTTTTAGTGTTTCTTGTTGTGCTCAAGGCCATCTGTGAGTGCTATCTGTGCTGATTCAGCATAATCTAAGCTTCACAACCTCTGTATGTCTATTTTAATTTTTATGTATGTGATGAGGATTTCGAAATGAAGTTGGCTGCAGTTTTGTTCACAGTATATGACAGCTCATTGTGGCTGCCTTCTAAACTTTTCCTTCTTTTTTCATCTGTGTTAACAGACAGCGAGGTGACTCACCTAGTGGAGCAGTCAGAGATCAGAGGCAATGAAGACGGAGCAATCCAGTACAAGAGCGTGGGGGAGACCAACCCGTCTCTGTACATTCAGCATTGTTGGATCTCTGCAAATGGCTACCCTGTCCTCAACCTGACCTCCCCTCCGTCCATTGACTTGTCCCTGCAGAGTGTCATCAGCTTTAGATTCTCACACAACCAGGTAATTTTGCATATGGACACACTATGTACTACAGTCGAACCTGCCCTGACGGCCACCTCTATAAGACGGCCACCTGTACAAACGGCCACTTTCCATTTCCCCCCTTGCGTTTTTCCTATATAATTTAACCGTGTAAAACAGGCACATGTCCAACGCGGCCGCGGCCACCATAATTGAACACACAACCCCTATCATACTAAGCAATAATACCTGTCTAAGACGGTCACCTTAGTGACTCCATTCCGTTTTGTCATAAATTGTGCATTGGCCCCTGGCGTTGTGGGCAAGCCGTCATAATTCAATCACCTGTCGTTGTTGTTGGGTAGTCCCTCCAACCGATCATGTTGCGTAGACCTCTCCCACTGTTGACCAATAGCTACCAATTTTCAGCTGCTGGTGAGGTAAGCGTGTGATCCCTCATAACCCATAAGCCCCGCCCAGAACTCATACACAAATCGTAAGTGAGATGAGTGGTCACTGTTTACCTAGTCTGAAACAAAGTAACAATGGACGTCAACATGAACTTGTTACAGAAGCGTCGCTCGTTCTCCGAGTGGTGACGACCCATGTGTTTGTTTTAACATGGCACTCAGTCTTCCTTGTCTTATACATTTCGTTTTAATGTCACCCTTGTGCAAAATCAGCTACAAAATAAAAATTACAAACGAAATACAAACCAACAACAACAACACCAACAAAGACAACATAATGGGCTACTTTCGATTGGGGCCTCAGATGGGAATGGTTTGTTTTCTTTATCTTGATCAGTCCTGCCTAAGACGGTCACCTGTCTTATGCGGCCACTTTTCTCCTTGACAATGGGTGGCCGTCTTACACAGGTTTGACTGTACTTACTATACACTACTAGGTAACTTTGCATATGGACACTCAACTCAGTACACTCGACTAGGTAATTCTGCGTTCTAATGCACCATTCACTGCAGACTACCAGGTGATGATGTGTATTGATTTAATAAAATACTGCAAAGAAACTTTACACACAGACACTCGACTTACGATTTTGCATGGAGATACTTTACACACTTTCAGGTAAAGCTACTTTTCAATGTACTACATACTACGAGGTAATGTTGCACTCTGACACACTGTCCAAACGGGTAATCCCACTCACTCTTTCTTTACACTTTACTCACAATACATTATTGAGTGATGTTGTGCACAGACACAATACACATTACAAGTGTATAAATGCACACCATGGGGGATAAAATACTTATATACCCCCCCCCCCCCCCATAAATCCTGACTTTTGAAATGAGAATAATGTTTTTGTATCGCAGTGTGTTAATCCTAGCACAAAATAGGTTGCTGGACTGGGGCCAACAGCAGTGATATTTTTGTATTTGATTCAGATGTAGTATTTTTTGGTGATAGATTCTAGTATTATAAAAAATAATTTACCATGTAGTGGCCATGAAGAGACATTCTGCAAAGAAAAATTAGCTTTCTTTCTTTTTTCTCTTAAAGTGGTTTTTTTTTTTCTTTTCTTCCTAAGGTGACCCACAACAAGGGAGGTATGTATTTGTTTGCCCACACATCGGCCATCAACTCTGCTTTGAGGGGCAACATGACTAACAATGTATTTGCTTTTGGGTCTCATGGAGAAGCGCTGAATGTGTCCGGCCACTACTTTGAGCGACTCATGCTCCATCAAAACTACTTCTATAACTACACTGCAGGTGAGAGACATGGAAATTGCCACTGTTGTCCATTGTTCTTTATAGAATTGCTAACCCCCCCATTGTTACCCTCAGTTCTTTTTGTCTGAATGACCCATTATTATTTTTGTGTGCTTGTTGTATATTTTAAGAAAGAAATAAATCTCCAATTTGTGAGCGGTTGGTGGATGCTTTTGTTGTGTTTGCTCCTTTTTTTCTATCAAACCTCCATCATCCCTATCTCTCTTCCTTTTTTTTTGGTATGTTACTCAATAGTAAATGTGTAATCTTCCACACTTAAATTACCTGTTTGTGACTTAACAAGTGCAGTAAGATTCTTACTAAAACTAAAGTTCTGATTTCCTCCTGTCATCTCATAGCATCTACAGATGTGAAAACAAAATATTAATGAGTGTGTTGTTTGCAGTTTTCAGTTCATGTTTTTTATTCTTTTCCTTTTTTTTTTACAGCACAGAGGTAGGATACGGCATGGCTGATCAATCAATGTTGACTCTTACTGGGATTTTTTATTGTACTTTTTAAATTGTGTTTTTGTAAGCTCGTCACTAATGTGTGTTTGTGACTTACTTGTCTCAAAATATTTACTTAAGCCTAAGACATTTTTTATGGCAGAGTTCTCAAAGACCAAACAGAATTTTACTCAAAAATGAAAAGCTTGCTGTTTGACTCTTTTCTCGCTTCAGAATAAAAAAAGGCCTCCTGAAACTGCCACTGAGTTTATTGGGTTTTGGGGGGGGGGGGTTTAAGCTTCATGTTTAGTCCAGTAAGTTATAGAAAGTGTGTGTGTGTGATGTGTTTTAATAATTTCAAGCATTTAGCAAACTTCCCTTAATCATTTGGTACAACGCATTTATTTTGTTGCAGGGGATTACAGGGATATCATCCATGTGAAAGATGTTGTGGTCAACTTCACTCATTGCTATATGCTGCGCAATCTGGGGCATTATATTGTTCACACTTATGACAGGTGAGAACATAACACACATGGTACATCATAAACGTTTATGACGGGTGAGAGATTGTAACACAAACGGTACATTATAAACATTCATGACTGGTGAGAGATTGTAACACAAACGGTACATTATAAACATTCATGACTGGTGAGAGATTGTAACACAAACGGTACATTATAAACATTCATGACTGGTGAGAGATTGTAACACAAACGGTACATTATAAACATTCATGACTGGTGAGAGATTGTAACACAAACGGTACATTATAAACATTCATGACTGGTGAGAGATTGTAACACAAACGGTACATTATAAACATTCATGACTGGTGAGAGATTGTAACACAAACGGTACATTATAAACATTCATGACTAGTGAGAGATTGTAACACAAACGGTACATTATAAACATTCATGACTGGTGAGAGATTGTAACACAAACGGTACATTATAAACATTCATGACTGATGAGAGATTGTAATACAAACGGTACATTATAAACATTCATGACTGGTGAAAGATTGTAACACAAACGGTACATTATAAACATTCATGACTGGTGAGAGATTGTAACACAAACGGTACATTTTAAACATTCATGACTGGTGAGAGATTGTAACACAAACGGTACATTATACACACTTATGATAGGGAGATCATAATGCAATTGGTACCTTGATACAGAACACATAACAGGCTTATAACAGGAGAGAACATAATGTAAATAATACATAACACTCTTATGACGGGAGAAAACATAACACAAATGATACATAACACAGAGAACATAACACAAAGGATACATAACACACTTATGGCAGGAGAAAACATAACACCAATGATACATGACACAGAGAACATAACACAAATGATACATAACACAGAGAACATAACACAAATGATACATAACACACTTATGACTGGAGAGAACATAACACAAATAATATGCATAACACACTTACGACAAATGAGAACATTATGCAAAAGATAGCATTGTCCACACTGTCAATAGATTAGAGATTCATTTGATTTAGTAAGTGTTTTACAGCACTCGCAGCTGCATAAGGTCATATGAGCACTAGTTGGTTGCATTCGCAATAGTTCACAGCACGGCTTGGCCTAGGTCAATGATGAGATTTAAAATGATAAAAATCTGAGGTTAAAATGAGAGATTGTAGCCCATAACATTATAATAATAACAGGTCCTAAATCATCTAAAATATGTAATAGGGGGAATAAAACGCCTACAATACGAGAAAAAAACCCAACAACCCCCCCCCCCCAAAAAAAAAAAAATTTTTTTTTTTAAATTTAAAAATAAACGTTGTGTACTTTGCTGTTATCACAAAGGAGAACACACTGCTATACGTTACATTATACAGGCGCCCTCGGTAAGAGTTTTAGCATTGGACAAGCAATAATAAAACTTGCTAGAAGAACTCCAAGCTTTATCAAACAGTGCCCTGGGTGCTGTCGTGGCCTAGAGGTTAAGGTGTTCGCCCCTCTTTCAATAGGTCCAGGGTTCGAATCTGAATTGCAATGGAAAATTTTCTTCTCTAAGATTGTCTCCTTTCACATCCTTTCCAGCTCTCTAACAATGTTCTGTGGTCTGCTTTCGTCTCCATCTTCTGCCCCCACCCCCTCACCTCCTTTGCTCCCTCCTCTGGGTTCCTGACTCTTTCTGCAGCCTTTCTATTGCTACTCCTTGGCTCCTTCTTACTGCTGTCTTTCAGCCACACCCGTGATCTTCAGGAAGGAAAAATCTGCACCTAGCTTTGTTGGATAAGGGCGAAAAATCTTGGCGGTCCTGTGTACAAGTTGCGCACGTTAAAAGACCCCTTGGTGGTCCAAAATGGATAAGAGTAGGCTGTGGCCACCACTCAGGGTTGGTGATTTTTTTGATTTTTTAAATAAAAATTTTAAAAATCGATTTAAAAAATTTTAATAAGATTTTTTACATTTCAATCGAATTTTTAAAATTTTTTTTAAAATGTCGACACAGTTTGGGATTTTTGGTGGCGAAAAGTATGTTCTTTTAGTGCAAAATGCATTGTCTTTATTTTAACTAATGATTAATTTTAGCAACTGCAATTTTAGAAAGCCTTAATCTGCTATATCAGTGAATTATGGCTACAGAAAAAAAGAAAAAAATGTCAGTCTAAAAGGAGGGGGGGGGGGGGGGGGGGTAATTATGCATAGAGATAAACTTGCATTTTATTACAGTGTGTGTGTGAGCGCGCGCTTGTGTTTGTCTAAAAAGAAAAAGAAAATGCTAATTTCAATGATGAAAAAAAAAGTAAATTGAAAACTGTACTATTTTACTACTTACAGTGACAGGGGGTAAAGCAGACTTTTAAGCAATTTTAGTCTACTAAACCTTATATCTGTTTTATAAAACCAAGGAAAGGAATTCTGAATGTTTAAAGATGTAAAAACAGAATACATTTTTTTAAAGTGATTTAAATCAGAGTTTTATTTTTAAAATCAAGTTGATTTAAATTTAAAAAATCAACTGATTTAAATCGACCTGATTTAAATCAACCCAACCCTGGTTTTCAATTATGAAAAAAAGTAAATTGAGTACTGTATTATTTTACAGTGACACTGTTTTATAAAACCAAGGAAAGGAATTCTGAATGTTTAAAGATGTAAAAACAGAATACTTTAAAAAAAAAGTGATTTAAATCACTGAGTTTTATTTTTGAAAATCAAGTTGATTTAAGTTTTTAAAAAATCAACGGATTTAAATCAACCCAACCCTGGTTTACTAAACCTTATATATCTGTTTAATAAAACCAAGGAAAGGAATTCTGAATGTTTAAATATGTAAAAACTGAATACATTTTTTTGAAAAGTGATTTCAATCACTGATTTTTATTTAAAAAATCAAGTTGATTAAAATAAAAAAAATCAACTGATTTAAATCAACCCGGCTCTGATTTCAATTATGGAAAAAAAAAAGTTAATTTAATACTGTATTATTTTACAGTGAAAAGGGGGAAAGCAGACTTTTAAGCATGATTATATTAGTCTACTAAACCTTATATCTGTTTTATGAAACCAAGGAAAGGAATTCTGAATGTTGAAATGTGTAAAAACTGAATAAAAATAAATTTTTAAAAGTGATTTAAATCACTGATTTTTATTTTAAAAATCAAGTTGATTTAAATTTAAAAAATCAACTGATTTAAATCAACCCAACCCTGCCACCACTCGGGCAAAATTCAAAATTTCCTACCCACTGAAAATGCTTAGTGTGTCCCATATGCTTATATGACCATATAATAATAATAATAAATAGCATTTATACTGCGCATTTCCATTTCCTAAAAGATACTCAATGTGCATTACAATGAAAAAGACATCACATCTTAAAAATTAATCGACACAAATGTGTACGTAAAACAGAGTATTATACATATAATATAAATGCATATGTGTAAAATTTTATACCAGAAAAACAGTCTCGCAGTGAGGTTGAAAATGTGTTCACTAAAAATATACAATGCAATATAAATTCACGAACAGTCAAAATACAGTTGAAACGTGAGTAACTAGAAACATTCATTAAAACATTAATTCTATACAGATAGAAAAACATTTCCGTTCTATCTCTCTCTCTCTCTCTCTCTCTCTCTCTCTCTCTCTGTCTCTCTCTCTCTCCCTCTCTCTCTCTCCCTCTCCCTCTATCTCTCTCTCTTTCTCTCTCCCTCTCGCTATCTCTCTCTTTTCTCTCTCTTTTCTCTCTCTATCTCTCTCTTTTTCTCTCTCTCATTCTCACTCGCTATTTCTTCAGTCTCACAGTCTGGCATACACATGCATATATATCACAGTACATCATTATGACAGGTATGCTTTTGTGAATAAAAAATGCTTCAGCTGATTTTTGAAAATGGAAATTGTTGGGGCAGATCTTATTTTATATGGGATTTCGTTCCATACCTGGGGACCAAAGAACAAAAAGGAACGCTCGCCATATGTTTTGGAGTTTTGTTTTGGAGTTTTAAGAATTAGATTGTCAGAGGCTGATCTAAGGGCTCTAGGTGGATTATATAATTCCAGGAATGTTTTAAGATAAAAAGGTGCACTATCATTTATACATTTAAAACAGAGAACGGCAGTTTTGTATTTAATCCTTTCTTTTATTGGCAGCCAGTGTAGTTCTTTCAGAATTGGTGTTACGTGGGCTGATTTCTTTTGTTTCATTATCAATTTTGCTGCTTGATTTTGGAGTACTTGTAACTTTGATAGTTTTTGGGATGTCAAACCGGACAAAATAACATTACAGTAATCTAACTTTGATAAAATGAGTGTTGTTACAAGTGTCTTGGCTGCTGCTTTAGTTAAATAATTTCTTACACTGCCAATTTTCTTAAGCTGAAAGTAAATACTTTTGCTGAGCTGGCTTATTTGGGAGGACATAGACATATCATAATCCAACTGAACCCCTAGATTTTTAAGATTTCTTTTTGAACGAATGGTATGGTTATTAATATCAATTTGTAGCTCTGGGAGATTTTTAATGGCTTTTGTATTTCCACTCAACATTATTTCCGTCTTGTCATCATTTAGTTTCAATTTATTGCTGGTCATCCATATTTTTAAATCTCTAGTACATTGTTCAGTAGAGTCGACTAAAAGTGGTATTTGATCGAAATCAATAGACTTATAAATTTGAGTGTCATCAGCATAAAGATGGTAATTCATGCCATGTTGTCTTAAAATATCAGCAATAGGTTGTGTATTCATTGTAAACAAGACAGGTCCAAGAACAGACCCCTGAGGAACACCACATCTAAGCAAAACATTATTAGAACACATGTTTCCAACCACAACTGCTTGTGTTCGATCCTTAAAATATGACTCAAACCATCGCAGGACAGTACCCTTTTTGCCAAAAGTAGTATTTAATCTCTCAAGTAAAATGTCATGATCAATGGTATCGAATGCAGCCGAAAGGTCCAAAAGAGTAAGAAGACATACGTTTTTTTCATCAATATATTTTAAAATATCAGTACAGACCCTAAGTAACGCTGTCTCGGTACTATGGTGTGCCTTATATGCTGACTGATAGACTTCGCTAAGATTATTTGCTTTAATATGATGAAACAGTCTATTAGATACAACTTTTTCCAGAATTTTGGAAAGGAAAGAAAGATTTGAAACTGGTCTAAAATTTTTAAAGTCCTTTTCATCAAGTCCAGATTTTTTCAAAAGGGGTCTAATATGTGCTGTCTTAAAGCAATTTGGTACTGTGCCTGTGAGGAGAGAATCATTTACAATTTGGGTGATATGTGGAAGAAGTTCATGAAAACATTTTTTTAAAGGCTGGTGGGCATAGGGTCTAAGGCGCAACTTTTTGATGGACTATCTAAAATGATCTTTTTGATTTCTTCTTCCGTTGCTGGAGTAAAATAATCGATGATTAGCCCTTTAAACTGATGGTAATTTGGGGCAATTGCGCACATTTTATCGAGCTCTTGTCTGATGGAGGTGATTTTTTTAGAAAAAAAGTCTGAAAAACTACTACAAAGATCTCTATCGGTGCCAGGGGGTAATATAGTTCTGTTTTGGTTGCCAAGCAGTTCACTAGAGACATCAAAAAGTTCCTTACAAGTTTTAACATTTTAAAATTTTGACAAAAAGAAAGTACGCTTGGCTTTGGTAATCATTTTACTAACAGAATTCTTCATAGTAATAAATATTCCCTTATGCACTTCAAGCCATTTGCAGTTGCGAGCGCCGTAAAACACTTACCAAAAAAACACCAAAAACCAGTGCCCTAGGGAAGGGTGCTTGCCCCCTGTTTACCTATGTTCACTCAACTGCAAAAGACAGGGATGCCATTTTTTAATTATTTGTTGCTTTCCTTGAAATTGGTTTTGAAAACAATTATTGTTCTCAACATTTTCTTTGTTTCTCCGCATATCAGTTGTGTCTGTAACCTGCCTTTTTATTTGTAAGCGCAACTTTGTAAATTTCCAGTTATTTTCACAAAATTCTTGTGGCATCCCTGAAATGAGTACTTTTTAGTTTTTTGTTAAGACGGAATATGAAAGTCATGGTGGTATGTGCCTAACAAGTGGATTTTTAATTAATTAATTTTAAAAAATCATTACTCCTTTCTGTTATTGCAATACAGGTATTGTCATTATCATATTTCCATACAAAAATCAAAAATATTTTTGTCCTTCACCAAACTGTGACAGAAGATTGACAGAAGATTGCTTTGAGAATTGCACAATCAGCTCAAACAGATTTTTTTTCTCTTGCTGCTCAAGTGAATTTTTTATTCTGCTAATGACATCATTTGAACACAACACCCCCCCCCCCCCCCCCCCCCAGTGATGACAGTACACAGTCCCAGCTTTTTGCCCGCAATGGTATCTACGACAACAATGCTACTGCCTTGAGGGAAAGCACCATTAAAGTCGGCTCTGGACGCCCCAAGTTTGAGAACAACTTTTTGGTTAACAATCTGAATGACTTTGAAATGGAGAGCTACCCTAAGGAGTTGTGAGTACTACCTCAAAGGTTTTTCTGCGTTAACGGTTAAGGCATGGTCTTTTTTTAGTTTTACAAGGGTGTTATTGTGAATAGAAGTGGTAAGGAATTCAAAAGTTTTTACGGCTCGGCTCATCTGCTCTTGTAAATGTCAATGTCTTTTATGTTTTTTGAGACTGACTGTCTAGGATTTTTGTTGTTCTTGAGTTTTTTTTGTTTTAGTAAGAGTTTTTCGGGGCTTGTTTGACAGTAAATTAGCCTTACTCAGCTCACACCACCAAATAACTCTCTCTCTGTCTCTTTCTCTCTCTCTCTCTCTCTCTCTCTCTCTCTCTCTCTCTCTCTCTCTCTCTTTCTCTCTCTCTCTCTCTCCCTCTCCCTCTCCCTCTCCCTCTCCCTCTCCCTCTCCCTCTTCGTCTCATCCACTTTCACACTGGTTTTGTGTATAGGCCACCACCAAGAATTTTAAGGGCTCTCCACCTATCTCTGTTCTGGGTGATCTTGTCTATCTCCAGCCAGCCCTGCATCTCCACCAGGGGCATCAACGTCTCCCAAGATTTATGACTTTTTTTTGTTCTTCTCTTGATGTTTCTGTAGCGACAGATTTGTTGTAAAGGATAACAGGTACTAGCTTACGCCCAGCCTAGACGACCAGGTGTTTTTGTTTCTAGAGGCACTGCTTGTGTTTTCATTAAGTCGCCAGTGTCAACACTCTAGCCCAACGTCAGCCCTGCTCTTAGTATCCTTTTTCTTTCACATTTATCATGCTCAGTGGGTGGTTGGTGGGTGCTCTTGTGTTGTTTGCCCCTTCTTTCCTATCAAACATATGTTGTCCTTATCTCTCCTTCTTCTTTTGTTTATATGTTACTACTCTCTAGTAACACCTCTAATCTTCAGCACTTTTGTGACCTAATCTTATTTCTAGTGCTGTAAGACTGTGACCAAAACTATTATACTCCTACTAATGTCTTTAGGAGCAATTATGCTTACGCTTTAGGTATTGCCTGAAGGTTATAAAATAGTAAGGAAAATTCTTTTCAAACCTAACTTTTGTTTTATAAACTGAACTCTTATTTCCTCAGGTCCCTTGGCCAAGATATCTCAGCAAAGAATAACTGGTGGGGTTCTGAGCGTCGCGCCTTTATCAGTGGTAAAACATATGACAACTTTGACAATAAAGATTTGGTGGAGATTGACTACTGGCCTCCAATTATTGACAGCAGGTCCATTATTGAAGGTAAATTGCTATTATTATGTTCTTGCTGCTGTATTGTGACTGTAATATCCTCATAAATACAAAAAAAAGCTTTTTTTGCAGAATATGCCAAACTGTTCTTCTGATATAGTTTGTTCTTCCTTTACTCTCAAACGTCTATAGTCTTTATCTCTCCTCCTTCCTTTCTTGGTGTGTTACTTATAAATAATACCTCTAATCTTCGACATTAATATGGCATAGTTGTGTTGCAAGTGCTATAAAATTCTTACTAAAACTGAAAAAAAAGGCAAGTGATGCACTGTTCATTCTAAATGTGCTCCCACTGGGTTGGGGAGTGTAATAGACCAATTGCACATCGGTGGGGGCTGCATTTCTTCTAATGTTTTTACGGCAGGCGTGACTGTGTGCAGGTATATTATGTGGGCAGTTTTGCTTTAGTGTATCATCTTTTTGAGTTACAGTCAAATCTGCTGTAATGACCACCTGTCCAAGACAATCATCTTTACAAAGGACCTTTTCCCACTACCCCTTGCGGTTTTTTTTCCCTATATGATGACACTGTTCATGAGGGCCACCTGTCTAAGATGACCACTTTACCCTTCAACAATATTGGTGGTCGTCTTGGACAGGTTTGACAGTATTTTTCTCTTTTCCTTCATTCTTACCTTTGGGCAAAGTACCTTACTTTGAAATAATTTATCTGGTGTGGTTTACTCCTTCTTTCCAATCAATCGTCCTTATCTCTCCTTTTTTTTCGTTCTATGTTATTCCCTTGAAACATCTCTTATCTTCAGCACTTGTATGACCCATTAATGCAAAAAGTGCGGTAATCTTATTAAGACTAAAAACTTATAAGTTTACTGTTCACCTTGTCCGTGTTATTGTGAAGAGTGTAGCGGCCCCTTCATCTTTGCTTGTACCACCCGACCTGCAAACTAACTGTGTGTGTACCTGCTGCACCTCACAGGTGACTGTCTGCCTGGCTGGGTGTTGGACAAGAACAGATGCTTCCGCTACATGGGGGGAGCTCTGCCGTTTGAAGAAGCCAAGTTGTTTTGCCAGGTGAGATGACGTACACTTCAGAGACAGAACCAATCACTATACGTGAGGTGTGCTGACCAAATGAGTTACTTCTCGGATCTTCGCCCTTAGATAATAGATATGTGAAATTGACAGAATTTGTACGATTTAAAAATACATTATATGTGTGGAGTTTGTACAATTTACAAGCAAGAAATAGAATAAAAGACTTGTTAAACTTTAAGAAAATGACATCCACTGATATCTACAAATTTACCCCAGTATTGATTTTCAGTCTATATTTTCATTCGTGGATTGCGAGAATAACTCATTTTGTCAGCATGCCTCACATATGGTTTCAGACATTGGCCAGTACCAGTTTTACCACAACAATTTCAGCAACAATCAAGGGAAGCTGCAGCAATATTTTCTTTCACCGTTTGGCTTTTTACCATTTGCAGGAGCACTATTTTTACCTTACAGCCTCTACCATTTTGGCAAAGGTAAATTAATGTGGGCCGAGTGTGTCAGACTAAATGGGTCTTTTCAAAATTATTGGTAAGATGGGAAATATTGGAAATGAGAAAAGTGATACCTGTGAAGAGTCATGGTCTGAATATATGAGTGGGTTGGATGAGGCACTACAAGGGTGCTTTGTCAGTAAAAGCGTGTGAAGGATAGGGGTAATAAGGATCATAGGTCATTATACATTTTTTATATTTATGGAAAGGTAGAATGGTACATTTATGGACCTGTCCAGATCAGTGCTTCTCCCTGTCTTGTTCTTGTTCTTGTTCTTGTTCTTGTTCTTGTTCTTGTTCTTGTCTTCTTCTTCTTCTTCTTCTTCTTCTTCTTCTTCTTCTTCTTTTTCTTCTTCTTTTTCTTCTTCCTCTCCTCCTCCTCCTCCTTGAAGTCCAGTGTCTGTCATATACTGGACCGTCCTGCTCAGTTCTTCTGTTGGCCCGAACTGCTTCTCCAGTTGTGCTAATGGGGTGGGCTTCATATGTTTCTGCCTTTGATAATGGACAGATCATAGATGGTGCCTTTTACTTGGAACTCAAGCCATGCATACACTCCAACATAATCATCATGCCACACCTCTCTCTTTCTTTCTCTTTTTCCCCTTTCTTTCTTCTTCTATTTTCTGTCTCTGGCGCTTGCTCTTCTCTTTCTCTCTTCTTTCTCATTCTTCTTTCACTTTTATTCCACTTCTCTCATTCTCTTATGTCTTTTCTTTCTCTTCCTCTGTCTGTCTGTCTGTTTGTCTGTCTGTCTGTCTGTCTGTCTGTCTGTCTGTCTGTCTGTCTGTCTGTCTGTCTGTCTGTCTGTCTGTCTGTCTC